CGCAGGGGCTTCTTGCCATTTCATTCATCACGACCTGCCCGGCTGCTCAAACACAACTCTCGACTTGCACTGCAAGTCAGTCGTCGCAAGGGACATCAAGCGCAACGAGGTCTACTTCACCTTCACTGCTCAGCCTGTCTGGCCGCAAGGGAGCAACATATCGCGAAGTGAAGCCTAGTCAAGCAGCAGGCGATCAGTGGAAGGCTTGACTGCTTCTCGGTGACGCATCTTGGGAGAGGAGAAGCTATCTTCGCGTTTCGCTCTCATAGGTCACCATGAAGGGTCTCAAAAAGGCCATGGTGAGTTGTGCAAGATGGAAAGAGTGGCAGCAGCGGAGGATCTCTGACATAGGTCTGATCATCTTTTTCACGTTCGTAGAATCTGTCTCGATCCAAGTCCTCGGAGAATGGATCGGGACGATCAACACCCAACCAAGGCATACCTGTACCTCCGCCCAAAGGCGGCTCTGTGCCAGCCAACGCCAACTATCAAGGATCGCTGAAGAGTACATCAGCTTCCTCCCCTTCATCCTCATCCACATCGCTCCCCAGGGGTGGAGAAGGTCGGGCTGACGCGCGCAGCTCGTTGGGCGCCGGGTCTGGGACGCCAGAGAGACGTGGAGCAGGGGTTGCAGACAAGACGGGTCCCGCTCCTCCCATCGTCGTCGTCTCGTCTGAGATGCCCGCCGATCCCATTCCTCATCCAGGTACAGCGGTGGGACCAGGTGGTGTACCACTAGGAGGATCTTCGAGCCCCCCGCCTCCCGCTGCGCAGGTTCCGCATCTGGGCCTGAGTCCAAACAGCGGAACGGGCTTGGGTGGACCCGGAGACTTAGGGACACCGCCTAAGGCAGGTGCTCTCAACAGACTCAGACAGGGTCAGAGCACCGGTCCGAAGGACACCATCCCCGTTACGAAAACGCCCCCCAGAAAGCAGAGAAGCAGCCGCTTCCACGTGACGGAAAAAGTAGAGTTGGAAAAGTTGCCAAACTTTGGAGGTGAGTTGAGAGGCGCTCGAAAGTGATCGATGGGAGCAGGAGGCCGTGTGCGAAGAAGAGTGCCTCTCCTGGCCAATTAGCGAGCCTCGACGCATCCATCGCAGACTGACGTCGCGCCCCATCGCTTCCGTCTCATTTTTCCCACAGAGGTGGTGCCAGCAGACAGACCGGAGCTGTTCGTGCGCAAATTGCGACAGTGCTGCCACGTCTTCGATTTCAACGACGCGTCTTCAGATCTTAAAGGCAAGCAAGTCAAGGCTCAGACCTTGCACGAGATGTTGGACTACATAACAAGTCAGAGAAACGTGATCACTGAGGCGATCTACCCGGAAGTGGTTCATATGGTGAGTGGCACTGGAGAGATATGATCAGCAGAAAGAGGCTGGGAAGAACGGAAAAATGGTGCGAAGCAGCACTCGTCGAACGGCGGACACGCTGCAGCCATCGCAGCAACTCCTCCCTTGATCGATGTGTCTACGAGAGCGCGCCGCTGAAGCCGCATTTGGCCTCTCATCTGCAGTTCGGCGCCAATCTCTTCAGATCTATACCTCCGCAAGTCAACCCTGTTGGCGACGCCTTTGATCCCGAGGAGGATGAACCCGTATTAGAACTGGCTTGGCCACACTTGCAGATCGTATACGAGTTCTTTCTCCGATTTGTCGAGAGCCCGGATTTCAACACAAATGTCGCTAAGAAGTTCATCGATCAGCACTTTGTGCTTCAAGTGAGTGGTGCTCTCTATCTGCAAATTGTGCCACACACTGACCCTCGATCGTCACA